AAAATGAAAGAGAACAACAAAAACTGAAATAATAAGGAATTCAGAAAAGCAGTATGTGCTACTCCATTTTAAAAACTCGAAAACACCGAAAAGGCACAACAAGCCAACCCAAGAACGAACTCCTAATACTCGAGCCTTTGTCAGGTCGAACTCAGCTTGTTAATTAAATGAGCTTGAGCATAACGATTAACGAGAAGAGCCAATCTCGAGCCTCAACAAGCCGAGTGGCTCGTCTTGTTTAACAACTCGTTACTACAAATCAGAGTCCGTAAGCAATTTCGACAAATGCGGGATCCCCTTGATATCTACAATTTCATTTACTCAGTTCAGTCAATGTGGACAACCAAGTTAGAGAAATGCCCCAAAACTATAACTCATTGGCTATCTCGTGCTTTTGAATTCAAAAACCTTATGAAGTAAGTTCAACTGATCAAACGAGTAAACCCTAACCAATTGAGCATTATTTATGGCTGGTGTTCGATGAATTTCTCATCCGATTCAGCAAACGACGCCGTATGGAGTGTCAGTTCTTCGTCTCTGTTGCCGTGAGCTGAGTTTGAGATTGCGCCGCCGCCTAGCTACAAATTGAACAATATCCCTTTCATGTTTGTATCTTAAAATAAAAATATAGTATTCCTTAATGTCTTATTTCATAAAAAATAAAATGGTTTCTTAACAGTGTTTTATATAAAGTATTATTGAATTGGTCATTTTTTAATAACATCACACTATTTAAAATATAAAATAAAAATAGTTTTTAATTACATGCTCAAGCAAATTTATTTGTAATCACCAATCAATATTAATTAATATTTTATTATTAATTGTGCAACTTCAATTATTATATTTTCATTTAAATTCATTCGCAATGTCAAAGCTATTTTGACTTTTTCTAAATTTAATATTTTCGTCACTTTTTTCATTTCATTTATCGAGCAATATAATTTTAAAAAAGAATATATTCAGTTCTTTTGCGTTGTATCACATTAAGTGCAAGTATCTCCTTCATTTTCCTTGATAAGATTTATATTCACATTTTATGATGTTTTTTCGCACAAAAATGAATAGATTTTAGTAAATTATTTGACTTGTCATCACAGCTAGAGAGTTTTGTCACTTCCTATATTATTCCCCAAGCATCCATTCCAGAGAAAATGAGAAAACCTTGCCAAGTTTCTGTTTTTCTCTTGAATTTTCTCTTCCTCCTGTTGAACAAATCTACAAATTTGTTGAACAAATGCCCAGACACAATCACCACTTGAAGAAACTAACATGATTTTAAGGCAAAGAATATGAAAATCACTCTCCCTTGAGGCTACATAAAAAGCCTGTCTGTCTTTCTCAAAATACTTGCCAAACAGAAGGTAAAACTCGAAAAAAAACCCATCTAAGAAAGGATAGCAATCACTTCCGAGGCACGTAGAGCTACATAATTGGAGCCATCGGGACCCTTGAAGTCGTTGCCCGCGTATTTCGAGTACAGAACTGTTTCCCCTGGGCCCACCGACAATGGCTTTCTTTTACCCTCCTTGTCAAGTGGGCCGGGCCCAACCGCAATAATCTGTGGATGTTCAACATGTCCAGGATTGATTATTCTTTCTGCCAACAACATATTTCTCTAATTTCGACCAGAAGAATCTAATCAAGACGAGAAATCAAGAATATGGACTTACAGTGCCAATTGACGGTTTCTCCTTGCTTGCCTCTGTCAACAACAAACCTCCGGCCGTTTTCTCTTCGGCCTCCGCAACCTGAAAAAAACAGTTGTTCCATGAGGTACAACACGTACACAGCACCATAATGTAATTGTTAAAAATAAAAAATAAAAAAAAAATGGGGGGTCGGTCCACGGTCCAAACCTTTATTAGAACTCGGTCATTCAGAGGTTTCATGTCTTTCACATCATCAGTCTCGAGGATACCAACAATATCATCCTCTTTCAAGATGAGATGATTTGATCCATCAAATTCAACCTCTGTCCCCGCATACTTCGAGTACACAACTTGGGCTCCACTCTATAGATTACAAGTACTAGTCCAGTAAGTGAACTATTTTCACCACCGTAAAGAGAATTGTTTTTTACCTTAATAAACATGGAAAAAAAGGCCTTTAGTTTCAATATGAATATACCTTTACACTGATCTCCACCTCGTTCGACCCATGTGAACGACCCTCCCCTATAGCAACTACCTCACCAGCTTGAGGTTTTGATTGTGCCGTTGTTGGTAGTAAAATGCCACCGGAAGTTTTTTCCTCTGCTGTCTTGATTTTCACCAACACCCTATCACCCAATGGCTTCAGAGAAGTGTACTGAAAAAAATGACAGACATATAATATGAGTATAAGCATAATAATTACATTAATAACACACAAATCAAGCACAAGTCTCTACCACTAAAATGCAAAGAAACTCGTAAAATGGTGAGTTTGAAAGTGATTATATTGTCAAGCAGTTGCCGCCAAATTGAAGCATGCATAACAGCCAACCCCAATCCCGCCTTATAACAATAATATGTCAGATTTTCAAATTATCGAAAGCACAAATGCTAATAGATGAATGGGGCAATAAGTTCTTGGGTACTAAGTAGGAAAACAGTAAAGCAATACAGGAGACTCTGTTCACTTAAGCTAAACTTTAAGATTTTTTTTTCCTCACAAAATTCGAAAGAGAAGTGCAAGGATTACAACTACCCAAAAGAAAAGGAGCAAGAACAGAAGTGATATAGCATTTGAGGAGATTAAGAAAAATATATATATCATCAATCATTCAATAAGTAGCAAGCGCTTTACAAACAGAAACAATTGAAAAAAAAAAAAGATGTAACTGTTACGAAATATTGATTTCCCGTATAATTTAACTGAGCAACAAATTATTATGCAATTATATTACTTATTCAATTGTATTATAGACTTAATTAAGTGATCAAATAAGGTAAGAGTCTGTGGGATACATAATTGATATGAGTGGTTATGAGTGGCTTATTTGAGTAGTATATATAAACCCTATCGGTTATGATCCCTAATACACTAAACCATACAAAGTTTTTTATTCTCCCAATCAGAAGAGAAAACGACAATACCATATACGAATAAGGCGATCTAATCTAAGAAGGCCATAACACTGATCGAGTTCACGCTCCACTTAAGAAACTAATGGATCCAGATGTTCTTACTTCCTAATAATTCTAATGACCTATAATCTGGCTCGGTGTTTATTTCCTATATTAAACCATGTTCTAGCATTATTGAATTTATAATTATGTTATAGTTAATTCTTCAACAGCCACAGGATAAAGGAGATAGAACATCAAAATCTCAGCTAGAAATCCTTCAGGCCAAAAATACGCAAACGAAACAGTCACAAACAACAAGTGTTGAGCTTCACAACACACAGTAATCACTGACAACAATGAGAGTTTCAATCCTAATTTTATGAACAAATTATACAGAAAGTAACAAACAACATGTATTGAGCTGCAGCAAATATTTTTCAAATCCAAAATAAATGTACCTTTGGGGCGACGATTGTAGCAGCCCTGACAACAAGGCCGCGGGATGACGTGAGAGAGAGCCCATTCTTGCTCGGAGGTGAAAAGCACGAAACCCTAACAGCAATTGAAGGCTTGAGACCTTCGAACAAGCCGAGTCTTTTCGCGGGAACTGAAGTTGCACCGGAAGTCAGCTGCGCGGCCGCCATTTCTTTGCTCTCGAGCTCGAAAATCTGAAAAAATGGGAAGCTTAAATTGAGCCAAAATCAAGAAACGCGAGTAGATAACGAGGTCGAAAAACACAGTAGTACCTTGTGGTGTTGGTGAAAATGGACAAGAGGATAACAAAACCCTAGATTTCGAAAATGAGGAAAAATGAATAGGAAATTAAAGGGGTTTATTATTTTTTAAGGAAAAAATGTGGGAAGATAAAGGAGAGTTCTAGAAGCTTGATGGTGGGCAGATATTGGTTGGGCGGGCCTGTTTGAAACAAGATAAACTTGTTATTGGGCCAAAGGCCCAACTAGTGGAGTTGATTTCAGTGCACCAATTGTCCACTCTCAAATATTGGGAAAAGTACATGACTACCTAAAAAATTAGGGAGTAGCTTCAATTCCAAAACTATGATTTTTCATTCAAAAGTAGTGCAAAACAGTTGCAAGTTAAAAAATAAAAGATAGTTAAGCAAAATAAAAGGAAAATTTAAATTATAAATTAAAAGGGAGTTACGAAAGAGTTCAAATTTTAAAAACATAAGCTGTTATCATAGCCAGTGAAGGGAAGAAAAAAAAATAAGAAGAAGAAGAAGAGAAACATGAACATAGAATTCCGTCTTTTCTCTTGAGAAGCAAATCTATACCTTAATTACGCAAATTGTGTGACTCTAACTGATTTATTCAATATGCAAATAGTTACTACAATTAAGGAAATATTGAGAACAATAATCAATTATGCGATTTGCAAAAAAATTGGTCTAAAAAATTGTGTTAATGACTATTTTTATTTAAATATTATTTAATAAGTGTTATTCATTTTTTTTTGTGTATTTAATTAATCAAATCGTAGATGATAAGGAAATAATTAGACCCTAAAAATTTATATTTTTGATACACCCTACGCAAATCGTGTAAATTTGGTTGATTTATTCAATTATAATTTTTTATAAAATTATTCCAAAATAATTGTGTTAATGGCAATTTCTGTTTAATTATTTTTTAGTAACTATCAATTGGGTCTTTTTTATTTTTATCTATAAAAAACGTGGGTCTCAATTTCGTTTTATACGCTTGCCAATTAATTTCGTGGTAAAGTTTTTTTTTTTCGGAACGATAGAGATATTATATAAAACGCACAAATGTGCAAAGAGCAGCTACAGCTGAATATAAGCAACTAGTAGCTGAAAAAGTGGGAGGACAGGTCAAAAGATCGCCTAGAACCGGTCAAAATGGGAGGACAGGTCAAAACAACCAATAGCTGAAAATGCTGAAAATCATTTTTTATATTTTATCGATAAAGTATGAAATCAAATTGTTTGTACAGAGCTGATTGAATGATTAAAAAACTTTACTAAACAATATAAAATAGTCGATTGGTACAAATAATTTATCACCTGACTCAATCATCTCAACCAAGCATCCCAACTCCCAAGTGTGGTAATAATTTTTTTGCCATACATAAATAAGTGTGTGTTGTAGTAACTAGTACAGAGCCCGTACGATGCACGGAGTGGACAGTTTTAAGGATATTTACCCAGTCTTATTATTATATTCGTGAATAAAGAAAATTAAATAGACAGAATAAAAAAATATTATATATTATTAAAAACCTACTTGTAGACAAAATTTTTTGCCTTTTAGGCACACCATACTCCCCGCAAATTAATATTTTCAAGCCATTTCGATTAGTAACACATGAAACAACTCTTCAAGAACATGTCAACATGTGATAAAGACTGACACTGGCTCTTGTTCATCGTAATGAATATGAAACCATTAGGGGAAACTGTCTCCGCTAAAATTTGAAAGGTACTCTAACGTCAAAAGGTGTTAGAGTCATCTGAGATATCAACACCTTCTCTCCTCCATTAGATCCAATCAACTCTTTACATTCAAGCACATGATTTGAGAGCTTTGTGACAACCAATCTCGCTCGTACCATTGCACAACCCCATAGAATGGTTAATGTTCCGCAACAACATGACTGGGGTTCCTATCTTAAGATTAATCTCTTGGTTCGGCACTTCAGAATATCTGATAGTATTCAAAAACTCTGGAGTGTTGAGATCGAACAAAAAATCATTATTAGAATCAAATTTGCACGTATTATCAGAGCTCAAGTATGTTTGATCATCAATCGCATTCAAAGATGTCACGTGCTTATTGATAGACTCAACAACCTCCAAATTGGGGATAGTATAGCCCTATCCTTCAAATAACTGGGATCATCGGTTGCATCCTTAAGCATTGGATATGTGCTCTCAACAATTGTAGCGATAACATCATCAGTGGGCTCCATCAATATATCATCAAGTATGTCTATCAAGAAACATCCATAATTGGATCTCCCAATGGTTCCATCTCCGATGCTTGCTATCCGATTAACAAAAGCAGTCAGCTCCTCACGTTCATCCGAATCACCAAAGCTCTGAAGGCGCATTCTTTTTGTAAGCCTCAACACAATACAATCAACTCATATGCCGAAAGTATTAATTGCAGCATTCACAATATTCTGACGACTCCCCTTTGAAATAACCAAGAGGATCTGTCGAAAGTCCTCATCGTGAAAATAGGATTTCTAAGCAATTCTTGTATTCAACCTCAAATTTTTGTTCAATTATTCGAATTGTATGCAGCTTCATGGGTAGATTCTTAGTTCTAGTGACATCCTTGATCAAATTGAGTTTGCACTTCATCTTGAATTGAATTAAATCAATATAAATCATGTATTTGTGTAACAAAAAATTAAATCGAAAGCAGGATGAGCAGACAACATCGATCAACACTGAATTTGTAGTAGAAAAAGAGCAAAGTATATTTTAGATGAATTCCACAAATATTTGATAAAATAATATTTTAACAAAAATTTCCTATGATTCATTTACATTTTTAAACGTATGCATAACGTTTATTCTATTTTGTAATAACAAAGATTTACTCTATGTATTTCACACGCTTTTTTGGTTAATCTGATTTTATTATGCTTTTTCGTATTTGTTTATTTATATATTGTAAATTAATCAATTGGTGATTTGCAATGTGATTATGTAATATTTAATCTTGAGATTTTTTGGCAGTTATACTCTGGTGTTTTACTTATAAATTAATAATTTAGTTATATCGGGTAAATTGAATCAAATCAACAATATCGATTTTTTTTATATAGATCTCGCGTATTTTTTAGTTGTTTCCTCAATTTGGCCATTGTGAAAAGAAATTGAGAAAGTTTTCCGTTAAAGAATGATTAATACGGTATACAATACCATTTTTATAAGATCTCATTGAAATTTTGACTTCCACTCTAATCATTAATACAAAAGAATATCGGTCATATTATTCTTCATATTTCTCATAGCAAAAATATCGAATCCAAAACTTAAATAAAATAGAGATACACATTTATTCTAGAAAAATCATTCACATTATTGAGATTTTTTATACCAAAAAAATCGAGATACTCTTTATCATGCTAAAAAAAATAAACAGTGTATTTCACACAAAAAAATTATTTGAAATGTTGTAAATCGAGACCCACTGATTATACAAATAAAAAGACCAGACCATTTTTATGAAAAAAAACATCGAGACACGCACATTATATCAAAATATTCGTTTATATTATTTTGTCAGAATTATGGTAATTTCATACAAAAAATTGAAATAAAAATTGATACCCACGCCAAAAAAACAATATATTGGCCTGTGCATTTCAGACAAAATATATATCATATATTGATTGATTTTCTAACAAGTTTCCTATAATAAAAACAACCATCAAATAACCCAAACAATTTGCCCACTTAATAACATATATTGATTGATTTATTTCCATAGAAATGATCACCAAATACCAAAATAAATTCTCCCACTTTAGACCATATATTGATGGATTTATTTCCTATAGAAACAACCATTAGATACCAAAAATAAATTCACCAATTTATACTATATATTGATTAATTTATTTTCAGATATAGTAAAAAGATTTTTTTTACGGAAAACAGTTACTATTTTAAAATTAATCAAATCTCTTTATATTATATAGAAATAGACAATAAATATGACACAAGAATTAAAATAAAAAATTCTAGTCCTTATTAGCACTCTTGGATACAAATATGTCCATTTAGATGGACATTTTGGCATGAACTAATTGGAGAAAAAAAAAGTACTTAGAATGCAAATATGTTCATTTTAGATGAACATTTTAGCATGAACTACTGAGAAAAGTGTTCATGAATACGACTAAGTGTGGGTTTATCTAATAGCTTATTTATATACGTGCAAAAAGATATCTTGTTTTTACATGAATATACATTATACTAGAAATGCAAGTTCAAACTAAAGAGAAAGTAATTAGACAAAAGCTAATTAATCAATTCAATAAATCTGATTTATGTCGGTTAGGAGCTCGACAATTCAATTAAGCGGAGATTGTCGGCTGATAGAGTAGCTCCGTTTCATCGACCTGAGGTTGATGAATAAAAAGTTATCGGAGTTATCTAGCTTGAGCTAGAGTTCTTGAATAATTTGGTCATGCCCGAGCTAGCTAGTGATAATTGAGTACTAGCAATGAAGTTTGTATTGATCGAGCGTGAGAAATCCCTTTTCAAGAAGACTTTTCATAAATAAAGGAGATTTGGCGAATAATTAAATAAGACCTTTGTACAATTTTGGAGTATCTCGTTCAAATTTAATAGAATCTGGTGATCTTCTATATGCTTGTGGGAAAGGTATATTCCATATAAATACAAGCTAACAAGTGTAAAAAACAAATCTCACTTTTGCATACACTCTCGTAAAATGACTCGCTTTGCATACACTCTCGTGCACAACTTTTAGAGAAGAAAGACCATTTGTGAAGTGTAGAATCGTGTTATAATTAATTGAATTATTTTTAAAGTATCATATATATGTTTTCATTGCATTAATCATTTCTGACATTTGGATTATCTAACTTAGATGATTTGTGAGAAAGTAAGAGGCCACGTCCAATTAAAAATCTCTATCCATAGAGTGGGGAAAAAAATAGTGCTATTACTTACTATTTCTAATGTCCTATGAACCTCCTATCAGTTGACACGAAAATTATTTGCCATTAATCCCCTATTTCACCATTAAAAATTTTCAAAAACATTTGTGGATTATAATTAAGTAGCTTTGAGGATAGTGATGCTGTTGACGCGTTGACTTTTGACCTTTTGGATTTATGTACATTGGTGTTACTATATTTACTAAGCTAAATGAAAACTCATCTTACTTTTTTTCTTCTTCTATGTGAATTAGGGGGGGTTGTGTACTCAGTCTCATTGTGCTCTTGTTACAAAAAGTGACACTCATTAGTATAGAAATTTTATCTTAAATTGCAAAAACTGAGGTTAATGGCAAATAATTATTTTTATGAGGTTACATTATAATCACATACTTTTAACTATCATTATTATTATTTGAAATTAAGATATGTTATTCGATATTCAAGGTCATATCTAATCTATATCTATATAATAAGAATAATCATTTATTAATAAAAATAGTAAAAAATGTTAAAAGTATTTGATGCATACCTTTTTTTGAAAACTTTTTAAATATATGCGTTAATTGCTTCCATATACACGTTTCCAAAATAAGATCAAATCAGATATGATCTAAAACATTGCTTTCTTAAATAATTTTATTGATATCTGCAATGATTTTATTGATGTCTATTATAATAAATTACAAGTTTGATATTCCGTGATTCATGTTGATAATATTTTGGTCAAGATAAATATTACAACATATTTTAAGTTCTAACCAAAATATTATTTTTTAAAAAATATTCAATTTTTATCCAAAAATATTTATAGAAAATCGTAACAGGTTAAGTAGAATATTTTCTTCCAATTAATCAGGCGAAATCAAGTTGGTGAATTAATCTTTGCCAATATAATTATTTATTAAGCCTTATTTTGTTATATATAAAAAATAAATTATTTTTCAAATTTATAAAGTTTACTATTTAAGAGGTAATGACCATATAAATTAAATAGTTTTACTAATTAATGGTAAAAAATTAAGGAAATTCTTCAAATAGTTTTTTTTTTATTTATATAATGAAATTCTTGTAAAATTTATTTTCATTGCAAAGTATGTTAAATAAACTATAAATCCTTATAATGCCAATTAGAAAAATCTTGATTATAGAAGGGATTGAGTTTTTGGCATTTGCTAATTCAAAGTTATTTAATTAGTATACAAAATTAAATTATAAAAAAAATGTGTATATAATTTGTAAAATATTTATACAATATTTAATTTTAAATTTATTTATATATTTTAAATTGATTACATAAATAAATAATACTAGCGTGCATTAAATATTTTTCATTACATAAAATAAAAATAAAAAGAAGACGTACAACTTCTAT